AATCTCGGTTCAATTTAGGCCAAATTCCCATTGAGCGCGTCACGCGTGGCGTCACAAATTAACCAATCAAAACATTTCATTTTATTCGCGCGGCAAAGATGCAATAAAATGGGATGGTTTTGAATGGTTAATTCGTGACGCAGCGGATAATGCGACGCGTAACGCGCTCAGTGGGAATTCGCCATAACATCGTGCCAGTGTCTAGTAACTTTGAACTAGTGGCTGATCACTTGACGTCAGATGCATTAGGGTAATTTCTAATTGGCGACTACTGCGCATTCACGAGAATATTAGTGCATCTCGTCTTTGTCATCATGGTTGCATCTAGGATAACAGAAGAACAGGTTATTTGCCTTTCCTCTCTTCTCCTTCTTTCTCACTCTAAATTGCAAGGTTGTAAACAATCTAAGCGAAGGAAGGATTGAGAAGAATGCGACTGACGTGGGCCGAAGGGAGATACGCCTTTTGTTTGCTGATTCTGCAAATAAAATTAACAAACTCGCGGACATCCTGGCGATTAAATGCCGCCGACAAAGTAGTGAAGACGACAGACTTTGTGAGTGCGATTGAGGACGATCCGATCTTTGATATCCTCGCGAGTAGTGTAGTCACTGGCAATGGCCAAAGTTGGAGCAAGACTGCGACGTCGGAAAAGCACGAGGAAGTGCAGATATACTGTCAAGAATGTAAAGGTTTCACCAGTCAGGAAAGGTAAAATTAATTACACAATTGTTGCCAGGATTGCACTATTAGGTTATAAAATTATAAATTATACAGTGTGATAAAGATGTTGCTCTAACTATCTGGTTACTATTAAGAAGAAATCTATAGAATTGAAAAAATCAGTTTTTAGTACAAAAAATCTGTTATGTTTTTTAACGTAAAGTACAAAATTTATATTATTAGAAAATAATAAAATTATGTATTTAAAAGTATTTGATTTTTTAAAGTTTCATACATTTGTTCTCAAATAATCAAATAGTTTTAGCAATAATCTAATTGTCAATTTGTATCCATGGCTTATGGTCCCTTCAGTTGCAGTTTTTATATGTTCTTTCAATTTTCGTTTTTTCCTTTACTGTATTATGTATTATGTTCAATCTAGTATTATATCAGTATGAAGTCTAATGCTCTTTTTATAAATTAAAAAAAATTAAAAAAGCATTTGCTTGAATGATTAAGGAAGAAAGCTGAAAGTTTAGTACATATTTGTGACTAAGTTTAGACCATTATAAAGCACTTGCATGACATTTTTTTAGTTTTTATTATGCACATTATTTATGTGACATAATTTCTTTTTCTTCCTGTAGTTAGCGTTTTGTGTGTGGCTTGCTGTTCATTCAGTGTTAAAACAGCCTTAACTTTGGTCCCCTTGGCAGACGACTTTCGTCGTACGTGTTGAAGGATACGCAAAATATCAGTGAGCCGTTTCCCTCGTCTTCGCAAGTGCCAAATGAGCAAGCGACTTGCACTTCTGGTCAACAATGCGACAACATAATACTGGATTGTGGCAAGCCAGTGAACTTTACTTACTACGACAATCTGATCGGTGTAGCAAACAGGAATAAGCACCCATTGGTACCAGAACCCAATGTGGCACTTATGTTCAAGAAAAATGGTGGCAAAACTGTTGACGTTGATATTGATTTGCTGGAAAGGCGTTTGAAAAAAGCAAAGCGAGAGGTATCAAAACATAATATTTAACAAATATCAGTTCTAGATATCAGCTAACAAAAATTATACATTTGATTATATAATATTAATATGAGATTGCAGAAAACATCAAAGACTTCAATATGTCGAACAATTTTGCAAGAAAGAGTAGATTATTGTAGTCATAATATTTATATTTCTGAAACATTTTTTTAATAATCTTTAATGAAAATCTATAGTAATTGAAATAATCTTCTTATTCTATACATATATTAGCATAATTTTTCTGATAACCTATAAATGATTTTCTTTTTCAGAAACCAAAATCTGTCCAACTGTATAATCAGATAGGAAATTTCTGGCGTATCAAGGGTGATGCACAGAGATCAATTGAGTGCTTTCGTAGGGCACTTGCTGTATCACCACATAATGCAGAGGTGCTCTTGAACTTGGCTAGAGTTTTGCTGGTACAGCATTATTTGGATGACGCGACATATTTAGCTAGACGATCTTTAGAATTGCAGCCGCCAGATCGCAATGCGTGGGAACAGTATCTTACACTTGGACAAATATTCAAAGTATATCAACAATGATTTAATAACAGCCATTTATCAGATACGCTATTGTTCACTAAAATTACAATATTGAGAGATTCTTAGTATACAGCAACAAAATTTACTTTATATGTTATTTTATACTATTTTGCAGGCATATGGACATTTTCAAGAAGCAGCTGTGCATTTGCGTCACGCATTGGAATTAAAACCAGACCTTTCTGATGCTGCTAATGCATTAAAGGAAGTCGAGTCACTGCCGGCTGCAAGTATACATATCTATACCTTGCTGATTATCATCTGTTTGGTACGTAAATTGAAGTGCATTTTTTTATGAAGTGTCCAATTTCTATTTTTCATTACTATTAATTCACTACTAGTAAAATTGTTAACATTTTTTCAAATATTTCTTTAAATAAGTTATCATCTAAACGTTGTTTGTAATAAATATAAAAATATTTTTTTTTTATTAAGGATTTTCTTTGTTTTCTCTCATGAATGTCCAGGAAACAGGAAATGGTTACTGATACGGTTGCTTGTTATCATAGGTACTCGGTGTGCTCTTGGTTGTGTTGAGCAGTGTAGAATGTGATGAAGATTCAACTCTAGTCAACGGACAGCTCCAACGTCCGGTACAACGACACTTCAGTCGTGCTATGGCTATGCGTAGCTTACGGCTCAATGTCGCACGTAACAGACGCTGTTGATGATAATGATTATGTTACTGATGAATCAGTCGTTTGTACATGTGATAGAATAACTTTTCATGCCATAACGATTTATCTCTCCCAGCAAAATATTATTTGTAATATGATTCGTAATAATTCTTGGGATGCACTAATCGTTTATTATATATCTCTGGAGAAAAATATATGAAGAAATATACAAGGATCTCATTACTGTTTCGTTTAAAACAGAGTTTTTTTTTATCAAACACAATCTCAATAAATTTAACTTCCATTCAATATTTATTCTTATCTTTTTAACGTGTTTACAGAGAATAAAAAATATGGAATGTCAATATATATGTCAGGATTACAATGATTCTCTTTCAGTTGCTATCACATACGTAATACGATAAATCATAACAATTTTTTCAGTTATCATATACATGAAACTGGAATAGATACAAGTAAACTGTTAATTATTAGTTTTTTTCATATGTATCATTTTGTAATACAATTCTGTGTTTATGATATATTAATACATGGTTAAAGCTGAATATTAATATACAAGATGTCCCAAGAAAGGCGTGAAATACCAGCAGAACTCTATTCTTAGAGCTCCTTATAATAGCTTCAACAAACATCTTAAAGTATGCTAGAATTTTTATACCAGTCCAATTTTTATCGCATTTTGGAAGTTTGTTTTATTAGGTAGAAATAATTTTTTGTTGAAAAGTTATTTGTATATAAGTACATAAGCTACAAGCATTGTTCGCGCTATGTTTACGCTTTATGCACGCATTATAGCTATGCATTTATTTTTTATGTGTGACATATATCCAGATGTTTGTTCAAGTTCTTGATATAATTCTTATTATTGAATTATTTGTGAAATAAAGTTTGGTATCTAGTCTTCACTTATTAAATAGCTTGATAATTATTTCAAGCAATTTAATTGCTATTTTTTTAACAGAAGTCTAACATTAACAGACTTCTCCGCTCAATCATGCTAGTGGTTAAAAATAATATGTCATATACTACATTAATTATTCAAACAATATTTCTTATATACATGATATGAAAGTTTTTGTTCGTTGTTTAACATTCTTTAACGTTAAACCTCTTTAAATACCTTTTGGATTAAGTCGTCGCTAACATTTTTATTATGTTAAGTTTATACAACTTATTTGCACAAGTTTTGCATATCTTCCGCTGTCACTTCGCACATTTTTTGAGACAATACCTACAAGAGAAAACCACCAAGTTACTAGAAAAGAAACAATATGTAGTGAAATCGCATCTAAACACTCATTCAACAAGATTTATACTAACAATATGTTTAACAAGACTATTCTACATTTCACATTAAAATTTAGCAGGGTACTGTAAACAACACTTTATACTTCACGATCTAATAGAAGTCACAGATAGTATCATTTTATTCTTCTTTTTGCTATCAAGATTTTTTCATTATGCACTGAATCTCTACACACTTTTCAGGTATGCAAAATTTCGTCATGTAATTCATGCATAATGCTTATGAAATATATGAACGCAAAGTTGTTTTTTACAAATATTTCTCATTGAAATTTGAAAGAAATAAACATTTTTTAGCATTTACTTATATTATTCTAAATACATAAGCAAAATAATATTTTTTACTTCTGTATTACACTTAATTATCCTAGAAACTTAATTATCCTATAAAATCTAATAAAAAATTTGCAAATTTCAAGGTTTAATTTTCTAATAACTTTCGATTAGAAAATAAATATTTTGAAATTCATAAAAGTGAAAAGCATTTTTTTGTAACAATATTAACAATATTTTTTTCAAATAAGTCTGTGTTTTGCAAAACTTTATTAATAATAATTAACATATTTCCGATGAAAACGTAGGAGTAGTTTTTAAAAAAAGATAACGCGATTTCAAATGTGAAAGCTTTGAGGCTTAGTTTCGATAAATAAAAATCTAGCTTGATTTGAATGCATTAAAACTGATGAAAAACTTTATGGACATCCAATGTATGAGAATTAGGCCTTGTTTTTACAATAGGCTTTGTAATATTTACAAATATTGAAGCTAACAGCCGAGGCCAAATACTATACTTACGTATTGGGAGTATATAGTATCGTACTTTTGTGAAAATAATCAATAAAAAATATGTGCATGTGTGCAACAAGGAAACCAACTGGAAAACCAACTAAAAAATTATTATTGATAAAATTGTGGAATATTATGAAATTTGTTATAAAATTTGTAATCTATTCATAGTTTTAATTTATTTGTTATTTTCTTTATATTCGTATCCGATTCCAGTAAATTGTATCAATTTTATATTAATATTTTACATGGAAAATTACTTTATTAAATAAAAATATAGTTGCAAATTATATAAAAAGAATATTTCTATTATAAAACAAGCAATCAAATCTTGATATTCTTTTAGTATCCAATATTGTACCCATAGCAAATTGTTTAACAAAAAGAAGACAATTAATTTATAACTATAAAAAAAATTATTGCAAAATTTGTAATAAACAAGAATGCATTTGCATGCCTTTTTGTATGTGAATCATTAAAACTTTCGCTCAATGGTATAAGAAAAATGTTTTTTATACATATATATATATATATAAAATAAAACTTTTGTAAAATCTCTCACTCAATACTTTATAACCATAAAAATTGAGATGTATACACGAATCTAATATCACGTTGTGTCCCTGTAAGTATTGTACTAAGTACAGTGTTAACTATTGATATTGCACTATTGATTTTATTGATTTGTTTCAAATTTGCCTCTAATTTACTAGCTTGTACAAGGCACTAAATGCATCTGATATCAACATTTACATATACAAAAAATTATGTTATGCTATGTCCAAATATATTGGATGTCCAAAAGCAATTAAGATGAATGCTTAAATGGTATTTATAAGTACAATACTATTATATACAGGGTGCTAGAGAATCGTAGAACAATCGAGAAGGGGTTAATGAAGAAATAATAGTTTTTTTTTTTAATATAAATTACTAGTTTCAAAGAAGAAAACTAGTTTAAGAACTACTCATACGTATAATTAAGACAAATTAGAAAAAAAATTCTTTTATAAAATTATTTGTCTGAATATAAAGTTTGATATAAAAATTTTTCTTCTCGTAAAACTTCCATTCATGTGACCTTTTTATGAGAAATATCACCCCTTTCACGGATGCTGCTATAATTTCACTGCACACTATATAGTATTGGAAATATATTTCAGACTCTCTGCTACTCATAGAGACATCCTTCCAATAGTTATTTTTAAAGTCTCTAACTTATATGTAATCGGTTATGTTATTAACTTTAATACACGGGATGATTTCAAAATAGATGGTCAAAGTTTAGGACATATCTATTTATAACTTTATATAACTATAAATAACTTTAAAAATATAAAGTTATACGTATATTAATCTGGAAATTTCGATATATACATATCGATTTAAGAATATATATTAACGATACATGTTGACACATTGACAACAATAACATATGAATAAGTCATCAGTCTATTTATAAACAATAGTAAATCAAGCCAAGAATCTTTTAACAATGACAGTCAATAATGCGGATATGAAGCAATTAATTATACTGAAAAAACTATTTTCAGCAACAACAAAAATATTACGCCACATATAGGCTTAAAATAACCACCATAAAAACAATATAAGCAAGAATACGCTTCTAAAATTTGACCTATTCCAAAATCACCCTGTATATATATGGAAATATATATATAATATTATATACATATATTTTTTTAAAGTTAGAATTGTACCCAACTGGCATTGGCCACTGGGGGTGTGGGTGCTGATGCTGGCTGAGAAGCACTGGCAAACTCTCCCCATTCGGAACTTGTAGTATCTTGATTCTGACTTTGACTCTGTGACGGTTTGTGTGCTGGTGAGGAAGTAGGAGTCTTTGCTGGTGGTGGAGCAATCTTAACACCACCTGGAGGAGGTGGCAAACCCACAGCTGGATTGGTACGTTGTTTGGATTTAGATGAGACCTCACTGCCATCTTTTTTCTAAATATATAAAAAAAAATTATTTTAAAATTATGACAAATACAAACAAAATAAATTGTTCAAATATGTTAAAAAGATTTACACTTTCTACATTAGTCTATATAATACAATACTTCTAAAAGTATTTGAAAAAAGGATAGCCAGAAAAAATAAAAATGAGAAAATTTCATAAGTTTAAAAAACATAAAAGCTAGAAAAGACGTAGCATATGGCACAGTAGATATAAAAATAATAATTAATGATATATATTTTTTTTATGTTAAAAATATATGTTATTATGCTAAAAATATATATATATATTTATTTTTTGTTTTAATATCTGAGAATATTTTCCTAATATAAATTTTGACAAATGTCAAATTTTGAGGTTCAAACAAATGTTCTAACAATATGCTGATGAAAAAATGAATAAAAGAAAATAGAAGTACATGTGTGGATAAACAAACTTACAGTAATCTTCATGTTAATTTTGATGGTTTCACCCTCTTTAAATCTGAGATCCAACTCTTGTTTTGGCTTTTCTTTCTCTTTCTCAATCTGTTCTCGATTCTTTAACCATTTGAAGTGATCTTGAAGAGCGACATTCAAGTCAAAACTATCGGACCTGTCTAAGAATCCAACACCTATAAAAGCTGACCGTCCATTGTCATCTTGGATTCTCAGAACAAAATATCGGGAAGAATCGGTGACTGGTTCTACAGCTATTCCAGGATATTGTTCGATTGGACACTTGGCAAATAATTCACCCGTAATTTTATCCTCCAGCTTAATCGTTATGTTGTCCCCTTGCGACACTAATCGCATGCGACCAGTCCATGAAGGTTCTTGTAAGTTCCAATCAGCTGCCCTGCAACAATAAAACGAATAAACTATCAATCATACGATTCAGAAATTAAAGAAAATATATTATTTAATTTGTTGTATTAAGCTCATGCAAACGATAAATATTTACCGTCTAAAAATTTTTTTATCCAAAAAATTTAGCTCTATCGCTATAACAGCTGTGAAATGTGTCAAAAGCATCTCACACTTACCGATAACCCCTGTTAGTTGACCTTGGCGGAATTTTGAAGACAAAAACTTCTGACTTCACCAGAAGGACGCTTTCGTACGTTTCCATTGCGCTCGCTGATAATAATCTTCACGGGAAACAAGCACAAGCACAATCACAGGCCTTCGTAAGGCTACTGTTTAAAAGTTGGTTCGCAATCTTTGACAAATGTCCGCTGTGATCAGCCGTGATTTGATAACTCTATCTCGAGTCACGCCTCCTAACCCTCTCCATCCTTCGCCACTTTAATCAACGATGTCCATAGATCTATCATAAACAGATGCATACAGTATATGTATTTATGGAATCAATAAGAAAACACAACGGTTGTAAAATCGTTGAGCAATAATCGCCTGTGATTGGTGCATACTTTTAGGGTCTCTAGGTTATTAGTTTTCTGAACACAACTTAGGTTACGTTTACACTAAACCGATTTGATAATATCCGTAGTTTACCCTCTATTATTCTTTAAGTTTATGGCGTATAGCAGGGCATCCAACTTAACAATAATAATAATAAACTGTGTTTGGAGAATGCAGGGGATTGCATGTTGAATGATAGCTGAATAGGATTGACTGTTCGAAGGATTTGATAACGCAAAATATAATTTATTTTAAACCGCAACAATGCACGACGCTTACGAGGAAACATCTATACTAAATATTACAGTACAAATCGAGTCTATGGCCGCTTATGGTGAGTAATAAATAAGTATTGGTTAATCATGTCACATAATTAAATTATCAGAAATCATTCTTGTCAATAGATCGCAAATATTCATTTTTTTAATTAATTTGTTTTAGATGACAATTTATTAATAGGCACGAGAGAAGGTCACTTGCTTATGTACAATGTTCCAACAGTCTTTGATGATAGTCACAAGTTGGAATTATTACGCCACAGTAAAAATTTTAACAAGAAACGGATCAATCAGATAGAAGTTGTGCCAGAATATAATTTATTGATTATTCTAACAGGTATGTATTTTGGAATTGATGTTGCAACAAGCTGTTTTATTAAACATAATTGTGTACTAATTTAATTATGAAACATTACAGATAACATTGTGTGCATTCATGATTTAAATTCGCCAAACTTTCAACAAATATGCCAATTACCAAAGACTCGTGGCGCTACGCTATTTACTCTGGATATTCAGTCAACTCAGAGTTTGACAGGAGAAAGAAATACTGTAGTACGTTTATGCGTTGCTGTTAAACGTAAATTACAGCTGTATTATTGGAAGGCAAAACGATTTGAGGAATTTAATGATTTTGAATTAACTGTACAGGATATACCTCGTCAATTATCATGGTAACATATTAGAATATTATTAAAATACTTTTATATATAGTAACTTTATAATAACAAATTTATATTAATTATTTAGGTGTGGTGAAACATTAATATTAGGATTTCGTGGATTGTCCTACACTATTTTTGATTTAAGTGGTAAACCTAAAGAACTTTTTCCTACTGGTAAATCTCCAGAACCTAGTATAACCAAATTATCAGACAGTTCTTTTGTATTGGGAAAAGATTCCCAATCATTTATCATGGACACAAAAGGAGAACTGGTTCAGCATAATTCTATAAAATGGTCAGACACGCCTAATGCAATAGGTGCGCATAATAAATTCTATATATATATTATCATTACTTTTTAAAATTATAATTAATTAAATTTTGATGATATTTCAGCATGGGATGAACCTTATTTACTTGGTATTGTGCATGATAAATTGGAGGTATATACGCTAGAAGGATGTTTACATATTCAGACGATTAAGGATCTAAACAAAGCAAGACTTATATATCGATGCAAACAAGGGAAGGTCTTTGTGGCGTCTATTAGTCAGATTTGGTGTATCAAGGCAATTGATGTTACTTTGCAGATTAGGACTCTGCTGGAGCAAAATCAGTTTCAATTGGCGTTAAAATTAACTGTATGTTAATTACACTTTTATCATCAATCATAACTTATGTTTTAATGTAATATTAATTATGCAATTATACGCATATTTTAGAATTTGTCGGACATAACGGATGAGGAGAAAGCCAAACAGACGTATAAAATACAAACGTTATACGCGCATCATCTGTTCTACAACAAGCGATTCCAAGAGGCAATGGATCTGTTTTTGAAATTGGGAACTGATCCATACGAAGTAATAAGACTGTTTCCAGATTTGGTCACACCGTCGACCAACACACATGAACTCAGCGAACCAGCACCTAGCTTGCCAAAGTTGCAAGATCATGATTTAGAAAAGGGCTTACGTGCATTAATAGTCTTTCTAACTGAAGTTAGACATAAATTAATGGCAAAGGACAAAGATCTAAATAAAGAAAAGAATGGAGTAAGTGGAGAAAAGAATTTAACAGTAGTAGCTACGGAACAGCTTCTGAAAATTATAGATACCACCCTTTTAAAGTGCTATTTGCAGGTAAGAAATAAAAAGATAATAAAAATCTATGTAAAGAGTTTAAAGGCTATCTAAGAAAAATGGATTTTATTTCAGACTACCGACGCGTTGGTGGCGCCTTTACTTAGACTGAATCATTGTCATTTAGCAGAAGCCGAAAAAACTTTACTGATGCATCAGAAGTATCCAGAACTCATTATATTGTATCAAACCAAAGGACAACATAAGAAAGCATTGGAGCTACTGGAGAAGCATGCGAAAGAAAACGATTCTAGTCTGAAAGGTACTGAGAGGACCATACAGTATTTGCAACATCTCGGCAAGGATCATATGGACCTCATTCTGAAGTTTGCTGGATGGGTTTTAACCGAAGATCCTGAACAAGGGCTTAGAATATTTATGGAAGATATACAGGTATACTTTTTTCATTTTATTGTCACACTTAAGAATATTTTTTTATTCATTTTTTTATTCACACTCTTTGTTCATTGGCAGGAAGTGGAACATTTACCCAGACCAAAGATATTGGATTACCTCCTTCGTTTGCACAAAGACTTAGTGATACAATATCTGGAACATGTGGTGCACGTTTGGGAAGATAACAATCCATTATTTCACAATGTTTTGATACATCAGTACAAAGAGAAATGTCTAGCCTCTATGAATGCAAACGCAACACCGGCGGAAAAAGAAACCTCGCAACATATTCGACAAAAGTTGCAACAATTTCTGGAGAAATCGCCGTATTACACGCCAGAAACGATACTAGTGCATTTCCCGTTTGACAGTTTGTTCGAGGAACGTGCGGTCATACTCGGGCGAATTGGTCGCCATCAACAAGCTATATCGATATATATTAGTCTCTTAAATGATATACCGCGTGCAATACAGTATTGCCAAAATGTATATACAAGGTACCAGAGTAAGTGGATCCTAAAATAATTATGCTGGATATTAATTATATGAAAGTGATATAATTAATTGAAGATTGTTTTAAGATCAAGATCGTGCGGAGAAACAAAAGCAAACGGATAATGCTGACGAGGTGTATGTCTTGCTAATTCAACAGTTATTGAAACCTGATAACGAGGGAGTTTTAATGGCTGGTAAATATCGAGATAAACAAGATTTTACGTGCATACAATTTATGTGTTTTTAACGCAATGGAGTAAACACATTTTTTATTTTACTCATATGCCAAGGTTGTAATCCAGAGATTCAGAGAACGGCACAACCAGATTTGGAAATGGCTCTGCGACTGTTGGAAGAGCACGCTTCAAAGATAAATCCTATGAAAGCTCTGGAGGTTTTGCCAGATTCCGTTCCTATTGGTAGAATAAAACATTTTTTGGAAGTCAGTCTGCAGAATAACTTGAACGCAAGGCGGAGAACTCAGGTCCTCAAAGGGTTACTTTACGCGGAACATTTACAAGTGCAGGAACAACGAATGCATTACGAGTCGCAGAGCGTTCTCATGACGGAATACAATATATGTCCAGTTTGTAAGAAACGGTTTGGCAACCAAAGGTGTGTACATAGATTTTACAATCTCAAATGTCACAAGTCATTTTATTGCGGATTATTTAATCAGCTTTGTTTTGTTTTTTCCCAGCGCTTTTGCGAGATATCCCAATGGCGACATAGTGCATTACTCGTGTCAAGATCGCAAAGGATAAAAATAGGATCACATAATTAGATCATTTAGGATTGTACATATGGAATGTACATGTGAATGTGCATTACACACTGTGAAGATTTCACAGATATTCCGATATACATACTATATAAAACTTACAAATTATATGAAGAACTATTTCTTATAAGGAATCTTTAAGTCGATTAGTTTATTTCTTTTTTATTATACGCTTCTTGTTACCATAAAAAATAAATGTAAGTAAATCATTGACTAAAAATTGTTTGAGAGAATGGAATATTTTGCACCGTTAACATCTTTATAAGAAGTTCATAAAAAGTCGGGGCGATGACCGAAGTAACTCGGATCACAAACTGAAAAAAAAAGAAACTAAGAACGTGATGTCAGGGTCCTTTCTGAAAATCCCGCATTTATAGACGCTGAAGCGGGATTGGCTATGTAATCGCGCACGTGACGCTCGAAATTGAAATTTATAAAGTTGCAGCGTGGTTTTTTCTTAAAAGCCCGACAGATTTTTTTCGTGCCCGTGCATGTGCAATGTATGACAATAATGAGCATAATGGGTCGCGTTTATTTGCATAATAACGATTGCATAATAATGGGAAAGAGTTAAGTTGTAACGAGTGACACGGAGGATGGGGCGTGCCCGCGGTCCAGAACACGAGTAAACAGGACCGATGATGTCATAATCGAACTTGTATTCCTACGCCGGCTGGTGTAAAACAGGTACA